CTTTCCTAACCGAAAACGAGATTAGACGATCCACCAAGAGCTACTAACAAAGTTGGAAGTTTTAGATTTCAAAGTGGCATTTTATCTGTTATACACACATATATTAATTAATGAAACAATTGTAAAATGTTTGAGGTTCAAAAAGCTAAAGAAATCCTGAACTGAAGCTTTAGAATTGTACCAGAATGGTTGCTAAGAAATCATTTCTGCTTTACCGAAAGAAATAGACAATCCCGACTGAAAATGAAAAAAGGGACCAGAGAAGTACTCTAATTTTAATCTAGGCCAAGGCTAATTAAGACGGGCATGTAAAAGGAGTACTCTTATGTTAAAATCAATATGGCTGGGATAGCGGTGAGAACCTTTTAGGTGAATTTTTATTTGAAGGCCAAAATGAAGAAGGCTAAAGGGTTAAATAGGTACATGAACTAACTTAAAGTGTTCGATTAGCCCCTTATATAGGAGGTTGTGCTCGGCCGTCACCAATTGGGGCGGTTTCCGGTGGAATTTTTTGATGAAATTTTTTGAGCATCTTTTTCATTAAGTCTAGTTTACCCAAACCAAATTTCAACTAAACATTCAACAAGTAAGGCACTCAAATTATTTTTTGAAGATAACTGCGCAGTTAAACATCGCAGTACATTTCGGAAAATCATTTGACTGCCTTCCCGATTTAATTTTTAGCTGAAATTTGATATGGGTAAACTAGACTTAATGATGAAGATGCTAAAAAAATCATCAAAAAATTTCACTGGGAACCGCCCCAATTGGCGATGGCCGGACAGAACCTCCTAAATAAAGGGCTAATTGAACACTCTAAGTTAATTCATGTACCTATTTGACCATTTAGCAGCCAATGAAGAAATATGATTTAATCAAAGAACAACCATACTACACACATTAATAGAGAGAAGAGGGTCTTTAAGCTTTAATATTGTAAATGTTGAACCTTGTCACCATCTTACTGCACTGTTGGCGATGTGAGACTGCCGCTAGATAGATGTGAAAACATTGAGCATCAATTATCATGAAACTAAACACAATATTACATTTAAGCATTAAATTAGAACAAACATCCAAAAATATAAATAATAGGAGCTAGAGCTACAAGAAACCAAAAATATATATTTATAATATAAACATGTCAAATATACACCACTTTACCTTAGCTTCAATAGAGATTCGGGGGAAAAACATTTTCGGGCGCTCCATATACATTATTAAGCACTATTTTGTAAACCACCCCCTATTATTCTAATTAGCAAGCTTTCAAAAAATTCCTTATTGAGACGTGTTAGAGGGATCTACTGATAATCAAAACAATTTTTACAAAAAAATACATAGTAGAAATTAAATGACTGAAATGTATAAAACTTCTACCATTATTTTGTAGATATGATTCTATTTATATATTAAAACATACTACAATCGATAATTTTAAAGTGAAAAAATTCACTCTCAATGCTGAGGTCAAATTCATCTTCTGCAGTTCCAAATTTTTGATGCCAGGGAGCTATCAAACCTGCAAGATGCCCCATTTCAGCTTTTCTCCCGCTTTGAAAAACACCATATCTCCCTTGTACAAGGTTGGAAGACCCGCGGAACTGCTGCAATCCTTGATCTGGTAGCGATCTCCTTGGTCTTGATTTCCAGGATTGAAAACGCTGGGCTAGGTCTGGTCGCGAACTCCAATTGCGTGCTCCAACAGTAAGCCTTGTCACCGTCGGGCTGCCATGGTCATTGTACCTTGTAAGCGCGCTCAAATCCGTCGCGTTTCTGGATCCGCGTTTCCGGATCCAACGCTCACCGGGATGTCTGAATTGATGACTAAAGCCCCACCTCCGGTGTCTCTTCCTTTAATCCTCCGGACGTCTCTGCCAGGGGTAGTCATCGAATCGGTGACGGAAATCCCTGATCGGGAGTCTCCCTCGCGCTGTCCAAGATGACATCCCCTTCTAGGTGTTTTTTTTTCTCTCTCAAAACATACACCCAGTGACGGGAGTCGAACCCCTCAATTAAAACATACTACAAATACACTTTGATATGATGATGTGTGACGTATGAACAGATGAAACTCATTCATTTCAGCCATGATACAAACTCATTCACTTAGAATTCAAAATGTTAGGGTTAACATTCAGTGTAAAACAAAGCCACGAGGAGAAGATTGAGAGCATCCTAACCCTTTTGCTAAATTGGACGAATTGGGCGTCTTTGGCACCTTTTTCGCGGAAGAGGAGTCATTACATCGACGGACATCAATGATCGGGGACAAAGTATAGTAGAAGAAGGGGAAATGGGGAGAGCAGGAGGGAGTGAAGCCATAATAAAGTGAGAGCGAGAGGATTTCTGCGGCAACCACTTTCCTCTCTCTTTAGCTGCTTACCTTAGACCTTCCAGATGCCCATAATTATTACTCTCATTACACTCTCATTAAAATACTCCGTATTTGAAATGCCTACGGAGAAATGGGGTTAACAGGTGTTAACGGAGGAAAAACATAGTTATGTACACATAATTAAAATTGTACAACTCTCATATCCAGAAGTACCACCCTATATAACATCAAGGTACATCAACACATTTTCTGTGACCATTATACCCATCACATTATTCATGCTTATAAGATGGTAGAGATATAGAAATATAGGATCATATGTGAAGTACAAGATACTCGGTATAATTTATAGAGAAATGCTAGAGGTACCCCATTTTGGGTACCATTTGTACCTCACTCGTTGAGTGGCTTACAAAATCCCAACCCAACAAAATAATTGCTCCGCTTTAACTCATTTCTTTTGTGAACCACAAAAATAGGGTGGAGGTACAAAATGGAGTAGCTTTAGATTTTTCCTAGTTTATACTGTGTACATAAGATGAATTTGTCAAAAAGTAAAAGTATTTAGATGGAAACAACTAGCAAAGTAAATAGTTCAAGGGTGATTAAAATATAAATTACAGTTATATTTTAGCTTTCATTTTGAGTCACCTGGATTTAAGTCTCCTAGATTTAAGTATCGCAAATAGTTGAAATACAGCATAGAAAATAAAAAATATATCAACACTTTGGCCCACTAGAGAGTCTGCCAACTTCTTTTTGGTAGCAAAAACAAGCCCACACATCCTATAAATACAAACACAATCTAATTTAAGTAAAGATTAAAAATGATTTAGCAGATTCATTCAAACACAAAGAATAAGAAATTTACATGGATCCGTGCAAAAAAAGAAAAATAGTTACATGGATAAGAGAAGTGATCACTTCAATTTCGTATGAAGTATAAACTCCAATAAATTAGCATACTAATAAGTACTTCCTGCGTTCCTTTTTAATTATAACAGTTCACAAATTTGATCATTAACACCTTTCATTTTATATTAGTAAAAATTAAAAAAAAAAACAGATTTTGAAAATTTAGAATGAGAAGAATTTAACAATATTTTTTTAAAATTTAATTTATAATATATTAATAAATAAAATATGATCAAAGTAGAATAAGCGAATAGTACAAAAGGTTCAATGTTGCAATTAAAAGAGAACAGATGTACTATCAGATACACCCTGTATTTAATAATGTTGGTTGAAATTTTTTATAACATGAAATTTTTGTGTGAATAAAATAATAGAGTGCCGGCTTCAACATTATATATAAATATATAAATTCAGTGAAGTATGCATCGATTTCTGATTCTAAGTAGGAAGCATTAAAAATTGCTACAATATCCCAAATTAGTATCTCGATTATGAGATTAAAAAACTACCAGCCCACAAAATTCCAACAAATATAGGATACGTAAAGTGCGAAACTAATAGAATGAAAAATTAAAATAAATTTTGTGTTCGATGGAAAACTTTATCCAAGGAGAAGGTTCTAGATAACTTATCTGCAATACGATGAACAGAGGAGATTGAATCAGAAGATGAAGTCCAACAGCCCTTAAAGCATGTAGGATGACACTTCTGGACTTGATGTTTTGCCTCTTTGACAGGGATATGAGAGGGCAAATGTGAATTTGTGAATGTTTTTGTAGAAGGCATCGGCGTAGAGGCAGTGTTTGGCAGCCAGGAAATGTGGAGGTTTTTAAGGGATGGAGAGTGTAGTTATTTCGATATGATGAAGCCCTGGCGTGATAATGTGGAATTGAATACAATTATGGTCAATAAAATTATTAGAGACACATTTTGTTTACATATATTTTGGTTATATATTTGGAATTAATTTTAAAGAAAATATATTTAAAGGTACCTCTAAAGTTCTGTTGATAATTCATTTGTCAATTTATATCCAGCTTTTTTACAAAACATAGTAGTTTTAATTTAGAACGTTAAATTGTATTACAATTAAATTAAAGCTTTTGAGATATATTTTATTGTGGAATTGGTTGAAGATAACTATTTTACCTTTTCTTCATGTTTTTTCTTTGCTTTACGGATGAAAAAATTTTATTTCCTAATTTAGTACAGCGAGCTATTTTGTTTTAATTTAAACAATTTTAGTAAATTCATCAAATTGAGTAGATTTCAATGTTTTCAGTTACAAATTGTGTTGAGCTACAAAATATTAAATCATATAATGATGATTCAGTTACAAGAAATGTAGTTACATATTTCATGTGTGGCTATAAAACTAACATTGTTTATTATACAATCAATTTGACATATTTTACAAAACAAAAACATACAAGTTTATAAAAAAAAGAAGTTAAGCTAATTCCTTTTCGCATCCCCTCCTGGTTCGAGCACTAATTTAGCAAGCGAGGCGGAGGGAGCTGTTGAGTTCCAAGTTTCCAATAGAAATTTAGCAAACCCATTCCCGTAAAGAACTAATTTATCAATCAGAAAATTTGCATTAAAAGAGCACATGGCTTTCATAGCTCAGTTGGTTAGAGCACCCGTTTAGTAAGCGGGAGGTCTTGAGTTCGACTCTCAATGAAAGCAATTTTGTTTTTGCGCGAGGCAGGTCTGTATTAATTAAGAATTAATGAATGGAGTTCGACTCTGAATGAAAGCAACTATACTTTTTTTTTTTTTGCGCCAGGTCTGCTATGAACTGAGAATTAACGAATGATGACTGAAGAGAATCCAAGACAACGCCAAAAGCGAAAGGTAAAGCCACAACGTTAACGATAAAAATGGTAATAACAGAGAAATTAAAAGCAATTCGGCACTCAAAATCCACATTCTTTCTTTATAAATACAAGCTGCTATTATATCTACTGCACGCACACTTAGCCCAATACTCTCAATGGTGTTGCAGGTGTAGAGACTCTATCAGTTAGTAGAAGGACGCGTTCACCCTCATCGGTGCAGACTCGGCTACCACCCTCCAAACAAGGTCCATATATCCAGCTACACCCCACAAAATACACGAGGTTAATCATCGTCAAGATGGCAAGAAGCCAGTAGTAATACTCGTAATGTCCCTTGTTTATATTGCTGGAAACCCAGCTCTCCTTGCCATCACCTCCTCCTCCTGTGGTACGATCAACCGTGCTCAGGATGACACTAGCAAGTAGGTTCGCCACCGCCATGCCTAATCCAAACAAAGACGAAGCAATGCTTGACATACTCTTAGGCAGCTCGGAATAATAGAACTCGGTCTGCCCTATCGCGTTGAAAGCCTCGGCTAACCCGTTCAGGCAGTGTTGCGGGACGAGCCACATTGCTGACATGGCCACAACGGCATGGGGATTGTTCAACAGCCCCTGTTTGGCTGCTTCTCTTTTTCTCACATGCTCAACCACCCCGGAGAATAACATCCCCATCGCGGATAAGAAGATTCCAGTTCCCATACGGGTTTTCGTACTGAGCCGAACTGGTTTCCCACGGACTTTTGAAGCTAAAGGGAGGATTGCCCGGTCGTAGAGCACAACCCAAACTGTTAAAGCAATGACTGTGAACATGCCGAAGGATCCAGCTGGGATTTGGAAGCTTTTACTGACGTGCCTGTCCATGGAGCTTGCTTGTAGAAAGGGAAATGCACTCTGGCTTATGTTAATGGAGATCATGATCCCAGTTGACCACAGTGGGATTACTCTTATCAGTGCTTTTAGCTCCTCCACCTGCTCTACGCTGCATAGATCCCACGGGTTTGTTGGAAGCCCATCGGCCTTCACATCTTCTGGTTTCTTAATTATGCAAGCCTTGTTTAAGAACCTAATTAAAAGAGCATACATGCAGTAGGCGAATGTTAAAAGATCTGGATCATATGTTTCACAAACCATCCATAAATAAGCCGCTTGTATTTTTCTTTTTTCCAAAGGCTAGCTTTTGGAATCAGTGTTGTTTGTTTCTTTCTGATAACTTGTTTAAAACGCTCAAGCCTATTTTATAGAGTAGCTTTCCAATAAAGGTAGCCTGATTCAGCTTCATGCCATTATTATCATCATCATATGAAACCAAATACTCCGTATATATCAGCTGATGACCTCAATTATTTGCTCAGAAAAATTCTTATTTTGATTTTTTTCCTTTTTCAATAACTTGTGTTGGGGTCCTCACATTATTAGATTGGGGAAAATCAACCCAAAATTATACAAGAATTAGTTTTTGCCTATTTATTAACTTAACATTATACTAGGTACTTAGTAATTAGTGAGTGATAATAGCAATGAGTCGTAGATTCAATTATCATGGTACGGTGATGTTACCAAACGAGGCATAGTAAGCAGGATGATACCTTAGTTTGGCAGTAGGCACTTTGTATTGGGAAGCTTTGTTGGAATGGTAAAGAGAAAGGTTAGATGGGAAAGGGAGGTGCCGGTTCTTGAAAGCAGCCACCAGCACCTGGACAAAGCTGCCAAACAGATTCCGGGTGCTTTTGCGTTTGATATAGAGGGGGAAGGCGACGATGAAGAGAGTGGCAGAGATTAACATGAGGACGGCCGGAACTCCGAAGCCCACTTTCCAGCCCATGCGGTCTTGAATGTAGACGACGGCGGTGAGAGCAACTATGACGGATGCCGCGGCGGATGCGTAGTACCACCCGAAGTAGCTCTCCAACACCCTTTGATTGTGAGGGTTCTCCTTCCGGTCCAGCTGGTCCGCCCCAAATGCCAGAGAGCACGGTCGGATACCGCCGGCGCCGATGGACATGAGCACGAATGAAGACACCAGGACAGAGTACTGCGCTGACGTGGCGGCGGCGACAGATGTGCACACTGTTGATTGGGTGCTGCTGCATGCCGCTGCCGCTGCCGGCCTTAATTTCTGAACCATTGCCGTCAGCCACAGAACAATCATCCCCTGTCATGTAATTGGATTAATTAGTATATATAATCTCCGGTCATCCAGTCCCTTTATGTAAAAGATAAAGTGACTGGTTCATTACCAAGAGGGTGAATAAGGAACCAAGGGAAATGGTGAGGAAACGGCCCAGGTAAGAATCGGCAAGAAATGCGCCGAGCAGAGGCAGGAAATTGGTGGCAGCGGACCAGAAGAAGAGCAAATTCTGGCCTTTGGTCACACCCATTCCGTAATCTTTCATCAAGTACAGTATCATGTTTGGCGCTAGCCCATAGCTCGACACCTTCTCCAGTGCCTCATTTGCTGCGCACAATTTTTCGGTTTTCTTTAGATTTTAAAAATGAAAATTCTCAACTTTTTACATACAAAGGCAGGGGGGTAGTGACTAGTGAGTGATTCACTCACCTATAATGAAGGGCAGGGTGACCAGACCGCCCTTTGATCTTGGGTTTCTATCGATGGGTAATGTAGCCGCCGCTTCTTCTTCAACTTGTGGCTCCAACTTTTTGGGTTCCAGAGAGTTATCCCCCGTCTCCGGTTTCTTCATCTCTGTCTTTCCTCCTCAACCCAAAATTTAAGACCGGTGCCCAGAGAGAGAGAGAGAGAGAGAGAGAGTGGAGTCGGGTGTGAGTATATATGATGCACTGAAGGAGAGACGGAAGTCTAACGTCGATGTTTTATTACCGGAGTAGACGGGTCTTGACTCTAGTAAAACCACAGCTACCTTCTTTTTGTAATTCCTTTTTTAATTTGCCATACTTCATTTTTCTAATGATAAATTAAACATGTAGCACACTTTAATTTTAGCTTTCTTCAGCTCTTTCTCTCTCTACGCTGGATTTCCACTGCTTAGGGTTTTTTCTTTGGCTATCGTTTTTAACAAAGAAGCGACCGGTGCAGGCGAGCTTAGGCGTACAAGGTTTCTTCTTCCGCCATCAATTGTGCGACTATTTTTCTTCTTTTGCTTTGCGAGATTAAGCGGAGGGAAGAGGATGCTTGGTCTGAGGTGGCCGATGGTTGTGCACGGACGGAAGATGGATGATTGGTCTTCGACGGCCAAAGAGGCTGGAACAGATCTGGATTCGATGTCATTTGTGATAGGTGGCGACAGAGGTGATACTGCTGATCATTCCCCTCCTGAACCGCCGTCATGGAGTGCAAGAGAGTCTAAGATTTGGAAGCCTCTTTTTAATTTTACTGTTTGCTTATGATACGTTTGTAATTTCCATATGTATGTTTGTGTTTTTAATTATTTATGATTGAGTTTTACTTTGGAAATTACACACTTTTTGTGTAATAGTTTAGTTTGTTAATTTCTTGTAAATTGTTTAGATTAGGTTTATTCTGAGCTCAAACAGATCTTGATCAACTCAAAGGACAGTTGGTGAACCCCAAAAGTGAAAGGAATGTGCATAATTTGAAGAAAAAAGAAAGATCCTGAAATTTGGGTCTATACCCGGTCGAGTATCACCTATACCCGATCGGGTATCTTGTTGAAACTTCAAATCGGATCGGATCCGAAGACAAAGGATCATGCAGAGAAGATTCGGACCACGATCGAGTGTCCATACCCGATCGGGTACACCGACACACCCGATCGGGTATCTCTTCAAATACAAACCTGAATTCGGTCGAGTATGCCCCGGATCTGAAGTTATAAGCATACTCGACCGGGTACAAAAGTATACTCGATCGGGTATGCTTATGAAATTTTCCCTTTGATCGATCGAGTATACCTCAAATTTGAGGTATTACACATACTCGATCGGGTACCTTCTATATACCCGATCGGGTACCTTCTATATACCCGATCGGGTACCCGAGCTGCATCCCAAGAGCCTATAAATACACCCCCCTTTCCTTCACAATTAGACATCCAATTCCTTTATACATCTAAGCTCAATCTAGAATAGTTCTTTATTTATATTTTCTTCATGTTTAGTCTCCAAATGAGGAGCTAAACTCTTCCATCTTGGTTTTGCTACTTTGAAGCTTAATGATTTGTAAGTTGTGAGTTATTTTCTTTAATCTTCTTCCTTGAATATTAATTCTTTCCTATTCATATTTTATATTAATATTTTGAGCATTACTTAAAGTATCAACTAGTTTTGTTTCTTATATTAATTATTACTAGAATCAATCGGTTAATACGTTTGTTATTAACCCGGTTCTTTCAGCAGTAGTAAACTTGGATTATTAATGCATGCATCTCATGGTTAATATGCCAAGGGGAATTAATTATATTGATTAAACCAATAAACCGCTTGTGTTGAGGTTATCAATCTCAATCATTTTCATCTTAAGTTTATTACTACTATCAAGTTAATATACGGCGCTTATTCTATATTGACTCGATAGTAAGTTTTATTAATGAACGCATCTCGTTATTAATAACTACCCTCGATGAACTGGATATACTCCTCGATTGAGTATTCGAGAGGAAGATAGTTAAAGATATAACCGGGATCGACGAACATTTCATTAAGTGAATAAAAGCAAAATGACGAGCACTTTGTCACGGTGCGTCAAAATAATTTCAATACTAAACACTTATACGTAGTATAGCGTAGTAGAGTTCGTATCCACAGGGAAAGGAATGATTTTCTTTTTATGGTACTTAGTAAATAAAAGGGAGGGATTTGGATTGAGTGATTTGATTCAATTAAGAAACTAAGATGAACGACCTATATGAGATTTAATTCAAAGATAAAAAGGACTTGACATTGCTACTTTCCACTTGTTGATATATTTTAGTCAATCATTGTTATATCTATAACTTATTCCCTCTCGAATACTCAATCGGGGAGTATATCCACTTCATCGAGGGTAGTTATTAACAACGACCGTTCATTAATAACCCTTACTATTAATCAAATATAGAACAACGCCTTATACCGATTTAATAGTAGCATTTAATCTTTCTAACTCCTTGATGAAATCAATTGACATTGATAACCTCAACACAAGCGGTTTCGGTTTAACCAACAAAATTAATCCCTCTTAAGTTTATTAACCACGACCGTGCATTAATAAACCGAAGTTACTTACTTGTGAAACCATCAACGATTAACCATCGGTTCGTTGATCGTTTCTAGTAATAATTAATATATGAAACAAAACTAGTTGATCCTTTAAGTAATGTTCAAAATATTAATATGAAATAAGAGTAGGAATTAATTAATATTCAAGGAAGAATATTATTAAAGAAGATGAATCCTACTATAATTAATATCAAGATGTTAACTAATTGTCATCTTAGCAACACTCCCCAATATTAATATAGAGGAAGAAAATACCATTCTAACTAATGTCGAGATGTTAACTAATTGTCATCTTAGCAACACTCCCCAACATTAATATAGAGATGGTATTAAGGAAAGAACTATTAATTAATATTCAAGGAAAGAAGTTAAGAAAATAACTCACAACTTTAATAATCAACAAGCTTCAAGAGCAACACCAAGAATGGAAGTTTAGCTCCTCATTTGGAGACTAAACATAGCTAGAAAAATATAAAGAAATGCTATTCTAAACTGAGCTAAAGAGTATGGAAGAAAGGATGATTTTTAGAGGAGAAAAGGAGTGCTATTTATAGGTGTTTTTCAACACCTTTGGCCGGGTAACCGACCGGGTATAGTACTTACCCGACCGGGTGCATGTCAAAATCAAATATCCTCCACGTTCTGACGATCTTCGGCATGTTAAAGTGTCCGGGTCAAGTCAGACCCGACCGGGTGGGGTAGGGGACCCGACCGGGTGAGTGCAAAAATTGGATATTCTTCACGTTCGGGTGATCTTTGCACACCGGGTTGTCCCCGGTCACTTCTCACCCGACCGGGTGAGGTAGTGGGCCCGACCGGGCCATGCACTTTCTTTGCATTTTCGTTTTTCACTTCTTACCCGACCGGGTCAAGTGTTATACCTGGTCGGGTATTTGCTCCTGGGCAGCCAAATCTTCTTTTTCTTCACTTCAAAGTCTTCCTTTCCAACACCACAAATCCTAACTAAACTTTACAACTTACAAATAAAGACTAAAATACAATTACAACTGAAATCACATAAATGTTTACAAACTAAATAAAACGTCAAACAATTAACATAAATCAAACATAAAAACATGTAATTATGCACTACTAATTAGTGTGCATCAAACACCCCCACACTTAAACCTTTACTCGTCTCGAGTAAATCAAATCCGATCCAAGAAGTCCTTAAAATGACAAGAATATCAACATACACATCCACAAGTGTTTTTCGAAACACATAAAGTAAATCCCCAAAAATATAATAGTAAAGAGGGTCTTCAACTCCATATTTCTTTATCAACCTCAACCCTTTTTTTTTCGTTACCCTTAGGATCCTACAGAAATAAAAGAAAACACTTTCTCTCGTTCTCTCATTTTGCCTAGGTGCCCTTTCGGGTTTTCATCCCAGCTTCCCACATTTTTCTGTTTTAATCCTCACAACTCACTCTTATTTTTGCTTTATTTTTGCTTAAGTTGCCCTTTCAGGTTTTCAACTTAACAAGCTTTTATAATTTTTTTTTACAAGAATAAAGAGTATGAATGTGAGTATTCCATAAAACTCTCCCCCCAAGCTAATCAAAGCACTGTCCCTAGTGCTTGTGTCTAAGATGAATGTTTTTTTTGGGATACTTTTTGGGAGGTTTTGTTGGTGATTCGTGGGTGTGGAGATGAAAAGGGTGAAGAGGTGATGAATGAAATGAGTTTAATTGGTGGATGGATGTAGAAGATATGAAGCTTTTGACTTTTGGAAATGGAGGGAATTTGGGGTGTGGTTCGAAAGGGAAGACAAAGGGGGTGATTTTTTTTTTTTTTGAGAAATGGCCTGGTTTCAGAAAATCGAGATACCCGGCTGGGTGGGGTAGTGTACCCGGTCAGGCGTAAACTGTTCACCCGAGGCAGAAGGTTTTTGCTGGCTTGCCCGGCCGGGTATGGAAGTCTACCCGGTCAGGCGAAAAATTTATTCTTGTTTTGCTCATTCCTTGCCCGGGTGATTGCCCGGGTGTTTTGTTTTTAGAAGTAACCCGACCGGGTTAGGGTTTATACCCGGCCGGGTCCAATCCCAGTCCATTTTTTTTAAATGTGTAAAAATAAAATAAAACAAGTAAACGTACCTTGCTTGGGTTACCTCCCAAGAAGCGCCTTAGTTAACGTCGCGGCACGACGCCATGGTTGTGTTCAATCGTTCAAGCTTGGATCGTGATAACTCATCTTCTTCAAATTTTCACCCGGGTGGCTCTTATAGAAAGACTCAGTTTTTCGACCCTTTATTTTGACCTTTCCGGGATCAAATATCCAGATTTCTATCGCTTCATATTGTGAGAGTGTTGGTCCATGATTTTCATTAAGCATGGTCAATGGAAGGGGATTTGATCCGGGTGGTATAAGAGGGAGTATGAAATATTTGTGTAATCCCACCGTTATTCCTTGCTTATTTGTGAACAAAGAGAAGTCTAATTTATACTCACAATTGCTGAAAATTTCATAGGTATCTTTGTCCTTCTCCACCCTTTGTGTTTCCCTTAGAGCCTCAGGAAATGGTGGCATGATCTTAGGAATGGCCGGTGGTTGAGTTGAGTTTTCGGGTTCCTCCTCCGGATGAGCTTTCTCCGTAAGCTCCTCTTCTTCCTCCTCCTCGCCCATGTGGTTCACAATGCTTGGCATTTGTTTCAACTGATTGTCCAAGTTCTGTTTGTTGGACACTACTTCTTGCGAGCATTGTGACATATTTTGTTGCATATTTGTCACATTGAAAGTGAGAGCTCGGATCATGTCTTCAGTGGACATGCTGGAATAAGAATATGAGTATGGGCTATATGTGTTGGAGAATGAATCATACCTCTCTTGGAAACCAACACCATTCCTTTGTTCAAAGAATTCTTCTCGAAGCTCTGGACAAAAGTCCGTAAGATGCCTTTGTGACATGCAAATGTTGCATGTATGGATATCTTGAGATTTTGAACATGAGATAAACTCCTTTATTAGAGAAGTCAAGTCGGAAATTTGACTCTCTAGGGATGATGTGTTGGTATCCATTTACTCATGCAAGCTCAGAAAATAGAAAAGTAAGATTTTTCTTTATATAATTTTTTTTATGAGATAAAATAAAAAGAAAATAATTGCCTTTCCCCGGCAACGTCGCCAAATTTGACGAGCACTTTGTCACGGTGCGTCAAAATAATT